AAGCCACCCCTGTAGTCCCTCTGCTACCAGAACCTTGCCATGCAAACCCAATACAGGCTGATATATAGAAACTGTTTAGTGTCGGCCATGCTTATGGACTGGTCCAAATGATTGAACTTGCTCATCTTTCCAAAGATGCCTTTGGAGCAAACCATACATTCTGTTACGAACAATTATTAGTGCATGTTAACATGAGACAGCCTAGGTTCACAGCTTTTATCGCTCGTTTGTTTAATTCTTGCTTGTTATTTTTCTTTAAAGCTTCACTTAGTTCACTGGAATGCCAGAAAATATGCAACATTTGGAGAAGCAGCAGCAGCTCCAGATGGCTTGGCAGTAGTTGGTGTTTTCTTGGAGGTAAGAATTGCAAAAATAGCATGTTTACATGGTGAAAAGCATTATGCTGTCAAGTGTTGGAGAACCAAACCACATATTTAAGAAGTGCTTAAGGAAAACAGATGACTTATTTGAAGCAGTAACTCATTGCAAATTGCTGTTAAACTTAATTCAGTAGGAATGTTGAGATTCATATAAGAAAACAACGTCTATTCAAAGCATAACTACAGTAATTCTCATTTAACCTGTCTGTTTCATTATTTTAGATTGGGAAAGAACATGCCGATATGAACAGACTTACTGATGCTTTGTACATGGTGAAGTTTAAGGTAAGTTTTAAGCTCTTTAAATTTAATTGTTTCTGGGATATCCTTTAAAAATCAAGCTCGTGCATGTATTTGAGACAAAAATGGAAAATCACCCACCACAAATCCTCCTATCGTTAGAACACCACTGTAGTTGTATTCTCCTCTTCCCCTCTAAAGTTATATTATTTGCCTAACCTCAGGTACCTCCTAAGGCTATGTTGAACCCACTGGTCATGCAGAGGTTCTGCCTTTCCCAGAGTACCCAAAATCAAAAGCTCCGTGACTTAGACTCAGCAAAGTAATCCTTTTCCATTGAGCCTAGCCTTGAACAAGTCTAAGCTGGGTGGCTGTCTATCTTCTGCTGCAAAGCTCTGTCAGGGAACAATCTTAAAGAGGTCCTGAGCTAGTCTATTCCTGCAGTGATACCTGAAGGTGGTCTTTGACCAGCTGTATCTGAGAGCTTTGCTGCAGGCTGATACCTGCTGCGCTTTCTCAAGTGCAGACTGATTAGACCACTACAAATGTTATCTTTTCTGGATTTACATGAGGTTAATGCATTCTACAACATGCATAAGTTCTAATATTCAAAATAAGCTATACCTAATGCTTGAGTGGGCATATTATTTCTTGCTCCTCTCTATGTGCTTGTGAAAGACGGGAAATGAAGGCAGTTACACAGCAGTATGTAGGCTGCAGACACACTAAATGATACTCTAAGTGATTTCTTCCACTTGCAGGAAAGAAATAGTTATTCCTCAGTTGTAGTGATGGAAGGTCTGCAGGTTTGCTGCTGGGGATAAGCTACTCATTCTGTTCCTTATGAGCAATTTTACAGTCAATGGGGGACAGTGCTTTCTGAGTCACTAAGTACCTTTCAGATATTCCTACAGGCTGAAAAATCTTGCCCTAGACTAAGGTAGTTAAGGCAATCACTACTTTAGGCAGCACCTCCTTCTGTTTCTACTGGTCTTTTGGTTGATCCACCTTCCTCTAATTTTAGACTTGAACATTTGATTTTTTTTTCTTAAAGCCAATTATTTGTCCTAGCAGACAACAACTATTTGGGCCCAAGTTTTCCACAGTTTAAGCTTTTCACTAAAAGGAAGGATGGAAAATATCAAGCAATGAGACAAGGGATTCTGCCATGATAATTATCTATAGCTCACACTGAGCACTATATACAGAATACACTATGTGCATTATTTTTATATCTTTTGTGACAAGAGCTGAACTTTGGTAGAGGCAATGGGGCAAGAACTCAAAGTCCAGTAAGGCAGCAGCAGGCATCACACTTGCCGTAAGTTACATAACACTAGTTATAAGGCAGCCAAACCTTTATAGACCTTTATGCTTACTTTAGCATTTTTTTCTCTTTAAAAAAGAGTTCTTTAACCTGCACTTAGAAGTAAAGATAAATTTCAAGTATAATTTTTTTTCCAGGGAACAAAAGCTCAATTTGGAAGCTTCAACCCCAAATGTCTCCTGCCTTTGAGTCTAGATTATTGGACATACCTTGGTTCTTTGACGACACCACCCCTTAATGAGAGTGTAACATGGATAGTGCTGAAAGAACCCATCACTATTTCTGAGAAACAGGTAAACTTTTGATACTCTCTCAGCTCTTGTAGGATTCAAGAGTGGATAAACAGGCAGTAACTGTTTTGATTTGCAGTGGGGTAAGTTAAAAGGCCATTAGCTGTGAATAATCAGCCTGTTCAATAATCAGGGCTTCTGGGTTTTTTCTGTTAATACTCTCTAGGATCTTTGCTTAACCTGTTCCATTAACAGATTAAAATGTACTGAATACTTTGGCCCTTCTTTTAAAAACATTAATACTGATTGCCCTCTTAAGGAGTAAATTATTTCACCTGAATTTACAGATGGAGAAATTCCGCATGCTCCTCTTCACCAGTGAGGAAGACCAGAGGATCCAAATGGTGAATAATTTTCGGCCCCCTCAGCCTCTTAAGGGGAGAGTAGTTCGAGCTTCCTTCAAGGCCTGAAGAAAACAGATAATGGCCCTGAGATATCCAAGAGCTTCCACATCTGAGATGCTATAAACAGACTCTGGTCTTCACATCACTCATGGGGCACACAAGATAGCCATTTCCATGAATACTCTACTTGGAGGGTAACAATCTTCTGATTTTTATATTTTTGAATTCCTCATTCCTTTGGGAAATGGGATCTTTTTAACTAGCACTTTTTAATATAAGGGTCACTGAGTAAACTAGAGTGTTCTCCAAGACCTGAAACTCTAAAATTTAAGATGAAATTAAAATCCTACTTAATATAAAATGGGAAATCATATAGTGATCTACTAGTACTGATGGCAACAACTTCTAAAACTTCTAATTGTCTCATTTTACACACAATGAAACAGTAGTCAAGAATTTGGACAAATTGGGCTTAAATTTTCCTTCCTGAGCTCTGTCTGATTTAAAGATTGCTTTCACTGTATTCTTGCTGTCTGTCAACACATTACAGTGCATATGAGAAGCACTAGAAAAAGGTTATTTACTCACATCAAGTAGGCACTGGTATGAAAACTACATATATATTTTAAAGTTACTGTTCTAAGATACTATTTTATAACTAATTTAAAGTAACAATGTAAATGCTGTGTTTAAAAGCAGGCCATTTTATTGCACAGTGCTGTTCAGACATTTGTTCTTTTAGCCCATGCAGCATACATAACTATAATGCCCTTGTCAGTTTTGTTGAAAAGAACATCTATAGCAATTCAGGTATGTGTTTTGTGGTTCTCAATTGTTTACATTCTACCTCAGTTAAGTGACTTGCTCTGCAATGCAATCTTCATTGTCTGCCCTGAAGAAAGTAGATATTGTGTTTACTTTAGGGATCTAACATGGGTAGACTGACTGCACTGAATGTGTATTGCTGCACAAATTATCCTCTTACTATGGCAGTCTGTCAGGGTTATTCCCTGCAGATACAAGGTTTCATCAGTCCTGAGTCCTTTTACCTCTTCAAAAGAAAGTTGCTTTAGAAAAGCCATGCATTAGCATTATTGCTTCTGCAGCTTAGTGAAAAAGTTCAGACTTGTGTTTCTGGTACTACATACAATGATGTTATCTGTAACTACCCACAGTCTGTTTTCAGTTACTTTAATTCTGGGCTTCAAATGTTCTACTTCATCATATAGTTCAGACAGAAATTGCTGATGTTTATCAATTTTCATCAGCTTAGATGGAGAAGTCATGAAAGATCTACAATGTAGAGGAAAGCAGGGACGGAAACAACAACAGCTATTATAGGGTGTTGTCTTTTTCCAGAAAGGGAGAAAGACAGTAGATGTGAAGCACAGTACCAGGAATGGAATATTAGAATTCTGGACCAAAATCTTCTACAGTTTCTGCTACACTGACCTAAAACTTTCTGTTCCTCAGTTTCCTCTTATATAAAATGAGGGTAACAGTGACCTACCTCCCAGGGATGTTGTGAGGGCTAATCTGGCATTGTTTTAGAGGTGAGATTCTTATAGAGCAGATGCTAAAAGAAGCAGAAAATCATTACAAAATGCAATGTTTTTAGCTATTATGAATGTAACTTTGATATTGCAGAAAATCAATTTAATGTATCTTAATTTCTTTAACAAATGAAATAAATGAGACTTTAAAATCAAGTATGCATCTTACTGTCCTTCATTTTGAATAGACCTACCTCTCCCTACTTACAGCACTGTTTTTCTTGGACCTTCATTAACAGAAATGCTGTTTGATATCTTCAACTGATACATCTATTTCAGTACAGGTAAGAGTTATCCTTCCTAAGTTTCTGGGCTCTTTTGTTCAAGTTCTAGAAAGCCTAATTCTGTTTAAAAGCTATTTTTAGTGTATCACAATTCTTCCCATCTTTTGGGACTAACAGTTCCTCCTTCAGCTTAATCCTTTCGCTCAAATTCTGACATATTTTGCACATCTTGAATGACTTCTTGCCCAGTCAGAGTTAAATTATTCTTGTGAATCTTATGTCCCTGTTAAAATTAAAACATACATGAAGAGACTAATTTTTAAAATGTAGTCTTTCAAAAGAACCTTACATATTTGATAGCCCAAATACATTTTATTAGGGGTAAATTAAAGTACTTTCCTGATGAAAATGTAACCAATATTACTTACCATATATAGCTTAAAAAAGCTACCAAAGTACTGCTGCATTAGTATTAGTACATCCTTTAACAGAGCAGGTCACTGATCAGTATTTTCAGTGTTTTCTCTCATTCTAGCATGCAAGTAGGTTCCTGCTCACTCACCCTTTCACAAAAGCTAAAGAGGGCTTCTATACTAAAACTTTGTCTTTTTTTTTTCCCCAGCTACAACCACTCAGTCTAATAAAATAGAAATCTTATTTATCCAGAGAATGTGTCCATTCTGTGACCTTGAACACAGTACTTAAGCTTCTTTAAGGGTGGTTTACTCATGAACAACAGAAGGATAATGTTTAGCTCACAAGGTTATTGTAAAAGCTTAGCCATTGTAAAGAGCTTTAAATACTGAATCCCCCAAGGTGTTCAGTTTCTGGGAGAACTGAACTATACCTTCCTTCAGAAAAACTTTATCTTATTTACAGGGTTTTTTTTTTTAGTTGTTGGATTAAAGAACAGGACCATTTTTACCACGGTAAAGCAAAAAGTAAAAGGCAGCCTTTTATATTCTTTGTTTCTTGAAACCTTGGTCATCCAATAAAAAAGCACAAGTATTTAATTTTTGTATAGTTTTAAAGCTATAAACTATATTCTACAATTTAATGCACTTCATTTATTTTGAGATGATAAAAGCAAACTGCAATAAGAGATATCAAATATTATATGAAATCGTGACTTTTATTGTAGACTCAATGAATAATGCAATCAGTATGATGAAGGTATAGTATTCAGTTAGATTAAGCTTTGCTGTACTGTCTTTTCCCTCTAACTAAAAATATAGTCCACAAAGAAAACAGCAAAAATAACAATAAAACTGATTGGTGATTTTAAGTCTTTTGGTGGGGAACAATCCAAGTTATTTTTAGCAGATGTAGCAGGAAGATCTTCACCGATGGTTTTTTCTCATTTAGTAAAGTTCTAGTAATAATACTCTAGTAATAATAAGGAACCATATTCATTTGTATTCCTTATACAGATTCTTGACTTCTAAATGTATTAGTTGAAATATAGTTAACTTGAGAGCTTTTATTTCTTTTATCAATATTATTTTATCTTGTCCATGAGATGAGGATAATCAAACCCAAGGACTGTATACTATATTTATAATATGCTTTGAGACCCTCAATCATAGGATCATAGAATGCTTTGGTTGGAAGGGACCTCAAAGACCACCTGCCATAGGCAAGGACACCTTCCACCAGACCAGGTTGCTCAAAGGCTCATCCAACCCGACCTTGAACACTTCTAGGGAGGGGGCATCCTCACCTTCTCTGGGCAACCTCTTCCAGTGCCTTACCACCTTCATGGGGAAGAATTTCTTCCTGATACCTAATATAAATTCTACCCTCTTCCAGTTTAAGGCCATTGCCCCTTGTCCTATCACTCCATGCCCTTGTACAAAGTCCCTCCCCAGCTTTCTTGTAGGCCCCTTTAGGTACTGGAAGGCTGCTCTAAGGTCTCCCCGGAGCCTTCTCTTCTCCAGGCTGAACAACCCCAACTCTCTCAGCCTGTCTTCTAACTATAACAGTACAAACTTCCATTATTTAATAATTCCACTTTTGATCTGAGCTATGTTACAGTGCTTGCATACACAGACATGACCATTGAATTACAAAGTGCTGTGTTTTGTAAGACTATAAGAATCAACCAGTTCGCTTGTCTGAACTCCTGAGAGTATTCTAGCTAGTGCCTGTAGTACAAATGTCCCCCTCAAAGGCAATTCATAGGGCTAAATACCTGTGCTATGCATCAGTACTTTTTGAGGATTTGCACAAACCTCATTTTCTCTGTTTTCCTTCTGAACTCTCTTCCCCTGCATGCAAACATTGTTCAGCAAAGCTCCTCCATCAAGGTCATTGAAATTCTAGAACATGTGTTATCCTTATCTTCTACCAACTATGTCGAAGGAAATACAGCAGTCGAATCTACCTACTCAAGCAAGACTTAGCTTAACTTGTAATAGGATCACAATTGTCATGATTGAGAGAACACGAGGCCTTTTATTTAGGACAGTGACTGAAATTGCACAGCTGTAAAAGCTAGGCTAAAATTGCCATCTAGTGGCTGGCTCTTTCCATTTCTTACCACAAGGCTTAAAACAATTTTTAAGGCAAATTCAGTCAAAATACAACAGATGAGAGAATTTACCTTTGACAATAATTTTTAAAGTATGGGTCAGTCTAATTGAAATCCCTGTGCTGGCTCTACATACGCAGACCTTGAAACTCCTTCAGCAGATAAAAATCAATCTTACAAAAGAAACTCCACAAATGAGGTACAATTTTTTGTTTCTGTTTTCACCGATAGAGTGGAGATATCCTCTGCCTGGTAAACTGCATGCTATTTTAACTTCAACTTTTTAACTTTAATAGCTATCGTTAAGGTTCAACTTAATTTTTTTTCCCCCATCCTCTATAAACAGAAAGATTTTTACGCAGTTTCAGTGATACAGTTGCTATGATCTAGCAGTGATTTATAATGATAAATTTCGTGATGAGTGTAAATTAGCCCAAATATAAGCATCAGGGGAAAAGTGTTGCAAGGCACCTTGTCACCAGATGGTGCTTTTGGTGGTGCTCAAAGGTCAGAAAGATAAAAAAGGGAGCATTTCAAGAAAAAAGCAGGGATAAGCCTGAAAAAAAACAAGATGTTTTCTTAAACCTCAGATTAGCTGTTTTCCTCTCTGAATTTCTTATGCATGTAGAAGCGACCATTTAGTAAAGACACTGAGTATCAAAGCATGTTGCTCTACACTGCCTGCAAGAGTGGGCGTCTCAAGTTTTTTCTGATTTACCCTGAGGAAACTACAGTATACTGATGAAACCTGACTGACTT